TGGCGCTGGCGTTGGCGCTGGCGCTGGCGCTGGCGCTGGCGCTGGCGCTGGCGCTGCTGCTGCTGCTGCTGCTGCTGCTGCTGCTGCTGCTGCTGCTACATCTGCTACATCTGCTACATCTGCTACATCTGCTACATCTGCTACATCTGCTACATCTGCTACATCTGCTACATCTGCTGCTGCTACATCTGCTGCTGCTAGCTGGCTGTCGCCGTACAAGCGTCGCAGTCACTGTCGCAATGGCTGTACTGTAGCAGTCGCTGTCGCCGTTGCTGTCTCAATGGCCCCTCGCAAGTCCCCATTCTCGATGCTGTTCATGGTGAGCTTGTTATTTCTGAATACTACCGGAGAAACGTACACTGCTCTCGGCAACGTCTCAGACTGTCTGAGGCCAGCAATTGGGACTTCACTTGAATCGGGATTCGTTAAGCCAAAAGCCCCTGGAAATTCAATGAAGTTCACACGTCTTCAGGACAAGCCGCCGTTATCGTCGTCATGACTGTAGTTGCAGTGATGGTCGTCGTCTTGTGGCGGGGCTAGCTGGTGGTGGTACGCCGGCGCCGTAGGCGGTGGCGGCGGCAGTGGTTTCTGGCCCTGCTGCTGTTGTGCTGGGGGGATTCCTTCAAGGTCAACTTTGTTGTGGCAGTGTTGGTTCACTTGATGCGTTTGTGCCTCATGATGCTTGTCTCTAGTGACTCTAGTGATAGGCTAGAGCTGGCCTGAGCTTCGTGCTGTGATGCAAGCACTTGATGGCAGATGGCAGCGTTTCAAGCCTGACAGTCCTGGTTGAGCACAGGCCTTGGGCCACGTCGGGCGTGTAATTGCAACAACCTTCGAGTCCCTGGAAATCTTGAGAGAGCGATACTCTGAAATCGACGAAACAATTGCAGTGCTGGAGAAGCACTTTGCAGAAGTCCACCACGATGCTCAGCTGCACCATCCAGTGAATTGAACATGCATGCAGCCAGCGATGTGTGCAAACTAAAGCAGCCCTGTCGACCAGGAGGTGGACTGCACACGCATAGCAGTCCACTCGGAGTTCAAAGATTTGGAACGCTCCCTGGGGGCTGTTTATTACAATTTTCCGCATGCAGGACAGAGCTCGCATGTGCCATGCAAGCGATGCATGTTGTGTGTGGTGGGGAAAAGCAAGTTGCTTACAGCTCTGAATGCCAGAGTGGCGTGTTGAAGTGTCTGGCAGGAGCTGTGGGAGGGTTTTTTGATGGCCATCCTCTGGTCAACTGGCGGCACGAGAACTTGATGCGGCTGTTCTTCAGGGCTTTGCGCGCTTACGTCAAGCCAGGAGGCGTCGTAAAGGCACCTTGGCAGGTTTAGCTCACATGTCACAAACTGTTCATGGTGTGCCCAATGTCAGGTTTGTGTTGCACTGTTTCTTGATTCTGCGCATTATGAATGAAGACAAGCAAGCATCTCCCCGAAGAATATGTTGCAACCTTTGCACTGCAGGTGGCATCGAATCAGGGAGCTGTTGGTGTCCGGTACTCCTACATCATCTGTTCGGCAGCAGAAAACGAATTCAGGCACGTAGAGACAGTTCCATTTCTGCAATGGAGTTTGCACCGGTATGGCCGGTCATACGGGGACCGTCGAGATACTTACAGACGGCCAGACGAGGGAGAGGGTTACAATGTCCAGCGCGCGGACAAGGACATGGTGCAGCTTGGTCAGATGGCAAGTTGTGTTTTGTTGTACTGATGTGAAAAATCTCATGGCAAGTCTTGCTGAAGCTGTGCAGTAGCTCGCTCAACGTCACTGTCTCATCAGATTTTGACGTTTCAGGTACACATTCAAGTATGAACCTTCTGGCCGTGCTTTGCCTCCGCAAGATATCCGGCTGCCACCAACGTTCAAGACCATAGAGGCCTTCCCTGAATACTCGAAGGCTGATCCATACTCGTAACTGTGTGCGTCAGGCATGTCCTGATGGAGCCTTCGAGGGGATGAGCGGCGAGTCACGGAAAAACCTGGCCAAGCAGCTCTACAAGCGCTGCCTGACTGAGTGAAGAATTTCAGTACAGCGATCCCTGCTTGCCACGCATGAGGCTTTATGCTGGAGTGCTCCGGGATCCACGTGGGTTGAGTGCAGGGTGACGCAGAGGTAGCTGGCGCAGGCTTCCTCTTGGATGATCCACGCGAAGCGGCAAAAAATGAGCAGGATGCAATCTTCCAACAAAGTTTGGGCGATATATTCATCAACTGCGTACAGCTTCTTGCCATGATGGATTGGCCACGGAGGTGCCGCAGCGCCCACGCAAAGCACCTTTTCTGGTGTTCAGCTTACCGGGTACTGTGCTGTGCGCCATCTTATGCCGATGCAGCAAGTTCATGAAAACTTAGTTCCGATTCCGCTCTGCTGTGTGGCAGAACAGCATGTGAAATGCAAGGAATATGTCTTGTAGCATTTTGGCTGGTTGCAGACCCAGCTGCGTGGTAGTTAGCTGAAGACATCAGCCAGCCCTAGCTGCTAGCTACCAGAATAGCTTTGACATCCATCTGCCTCCTTACCTCGTTTGTTCCTGCTCTCCTGCTTGGCTGGCTGTTGCTTGCGTCGTTGAGCGTGAAAAGCTTTGAAGAAGACGGAGAAGTGTTTGGTGGCATCAGGCAGGAAGGCAGGGGTATGACACATGTAGCTACCGATGCCTGGCCAGCTCGAGCTTACAGAGGATATACTTCACGTTTGGACTCAGCCTTGCTGCATCCTTGGCTTGGCCATTGACGGCTGAGGTTTCAGCGCAACAGCCCGCGACTTGAGAATGAAGATGGTGCTGGGAAGAAAGCGGTCAAGCAATGTATTGCTTCTGAGTTTCTTTAGCATTTGTTTTGGCAATTCTGGCCTGGTGGCTAAGGCCAGTCCTGCGCCTTCCTCCGCAACGACCTTCAATCAGCAGCCAGCGTCTTGAGCATTCTGCTTCAACACGTAGCAGAGTAACATTCTGCTAGCACCGAGGTCAACGCTGCCACCGCCTCCACCAGCCAGATACACAGATTCGCAAAAAAGGTCTCCAGAGCGGGTTGACGGGTTGACGGTCATTTGCTTCTCAGGCTGCGCCGTCAGTTGGACCGGATTGTGCTGGATGCGGTCAAGGTGAGAACTTTCTATTCTGCCTTACTCTGCAAACCTCTTGAGAGCCCCAGGTATCTACTCCGGATACCCGTGCGGGCAGCTTGAGCCTAAGTGCCAATTTGTCTGCAAAGCTGCCCTCCCAGCCACTCAGGCATTTCCCGCTGGCGCACATGCAAAGTTGCTGGTGCCCTATTGCTGCATGCATTTGGCTCTGTTAAGCTTGCCAGCTAAAGCCAGAATCTGTCGAGTAGGTCGAAGCACTATGACCCAGGCATGGCACAAATGGCTGGAATGATGGGTGGGCCAGGAATGTGCAGCACTCAGTTTGCCACAAGCTTTTGACCACCCAGCATGCTGCACGCACAGTTTCCTCCGCCCCGGTCAATTTGCCATAGTGAATACAAAGGTGCGGATTTGCTCCGGCACCCGCTTCATCAGAGAGCTCAAAAGTTGAGGCTTAATGCCGGAATCATGGGCATGTTGCCAACTCCTTTCTCTCGTTTCTTGCATGCTAAGTCGCAGGCGCTGGAACGTTCTGTCAAGGCAGACTTGTGACTGACCGGCCTGGTAGATGCATGGGATCGTCTATGCCTGGCAGGAAATGGAGGATAGGCTGAAGGCTCGCGTCTGAGCTTAAACTGTTTGTGTATTGGCGGCTTCTGTCCTTCGCAGCCTGGAGGACATGCGAACCGCCCTAGACGCTGAACGGCTTGAGCGCTCGCAGGCCCGCTGACTGCGAAGGCTTTATAGATGGTACAGACGTGTCAGTCAGCGGATGGCAGCAATATCTCCGTGCAGCTTTCGCTGCGAGCAGTAGATCTTGCCAACAGAAACCTGTAACTACTTGATATACGTTTGACTTCGCCTGAGGTAGAGTTTCGGCTGAAGTCCCTCCTTCAAGATGAGGTCCAGTACAATACCTTCAGCTCTCACCCGATGCGCTGACGTTAACTTCAGGAATCACGCAGGAGAGACCTCGAAGCCCGGGCTGTCGCCCCAATGATTGCCAAATGTTTGCTCTCCCGTAAGCATTGCGTCCGTGAAGCTTACTTTTCTCCCACTTGTCCCACTGGTCTTGTGCTTAGGTAGCTACAGCAGAAGCTCAAACAAGACAAGCAGAGGGAATGGTGGAAGGACCTTCCTGGAGGGTCTTGCGTGCTTCTGTTGCCATGCCCTCGTTCCCTCAAGACAAGCCTGACATTGATAAAGCAAGTCTTTTCTGAATCCATGTCTGTGCCACTTCCATTTGTTCATGACCACACACAAAGAAGAGCCGACAAATCACAGCCGCCTGGCAAATCATAGCCACTCCTACAGCATCAGGACTGCGCCGCTCGTTGGAAAGGCTGCTACCTCAGAACTTGCTGACCGTTCACGAGAAGTCGGAAGCCTATTGAGGCAGCAGCCAGCCGATGACTCAAGGCCTTCTGCTGCAGCTAGATCTGGGGTCAAGTTGGAGCGGCTGACCTGACTTTGCCAGGCTTGTCAACAAATTGGAAGATCAGTGGCCTACCCAGTTCAAGTGATGCTGCTGCAAAACGCATTAGTTTCCATGTTCTTGTCAATTATCCATGGAACAGAAGCTTGGATACTACTTCAGTATAGCCTTGGAGAAGCCTGTACATGAAGTGTGTAGGCAAGAGTTGAGTTGGGAGGGCCTGCGGGTATGCAAGGATTTTGTGACGCCAATGGGGGTCATTGCTTTTGGTATCCTTAATTAGGAGCTATGTCGATTCACCCAGCAATGCAAGAGCAAATATTTCTTCCACCTATTTGATTGTTGGATCGTTGGATGTAGATGCCTGTCGTATACCGTATAGGCATTGTGAGTGGGGTAGAATTTTGTATCCACTGGCAGTTGCGTGGAGCGAGCAATCAGGTTTACAGCGCTTCGGAGAAGTCTGGAGCAGGCCATTCTTGCCAGGATGGGTGGCACTGGACTAGGTACTTGGGACGAGGAAACGGTTTGGCCTACTCAACTTGATACTGTATGTGTGATGCATCTACTAGGGATGTGCCCGAGCCGCAGCATGCCGCATCTTTGTATGCCACGTGTGCTTTTCATGACAGGCTTTGGAGGGACGGGAAGTCTGAAGCACAGCTTGCATTTTTCAGCAGAGTGCTGCCTGGCTTTGGAGCGCAAAACAAAAACATGCGGAAGGCTGATGCGATGGCTGCCATGAAGCAGAAGGTGCAGGTGCATCATGGGAATGAGCTGCGTGCGGTTGCAACATCCTGGAATGAGAGCTGCAGGAGCTTGAGGCCAGACTGAGCAGCATGGGCGTCGAGCCCATCGTGACCATCAGGCAATGGGACCGAAGAGTTTTGGCCAAAGCTCTTTCCTTTCTGGATCTTTCTGGAGCATGCTGCTCCGTTGAAGGTCCCCTCCAGGGCGAATGGCATACTTCCAGGTGCAATCCCATCTGTGGAGTCTTGATGCCAGCGATACCAGGGCAACCAAACGCCATTCTCGAGGCTCCGCAGAGGGGTCGCCTCTCAAACGGATTCAATGGATGCGAGGAGCTTTCAGCGCATCTTTCCAGGGTTGTGCCGCTTGCGCTTTCTTCGAAGGCCCCTAGCCACCTTCTTCCTGATGCTTTTGCTGAGCTCTTGACCTGAATCTTCACAAGCAGAAGGCACATGCTTCAAGATAAGGATGCCTAGTAGCTTGCAAGCAGAACTAGACTGTAAAAGTATTTTCGGCCAAACACGCGAACAGCGAACTTCAGTCTCTCCTGTAGACCCTAATTAGACGAGGGCACTTAGCCATGGCCACCGCAATCCAGATGGATGGAAAGTCGATGACCAAGATGCAGCCGGCAGCAGAGGTGCAAGTCTGTGTAAGAAGCCGGTACATCACTGCAAGAGTTCAAGTCCCCAAAGTGGAGGTGATGGTTGATGGCTGCACAAGTCACGAACAAGCACATGCCATCCAGGAAATGTTCATAGATTGGTGCCTTCGAAGCACGAGATTTCATTGCTTCTATCTAGCTGCAAATTAGTAACAGCTTCGTGACCATGACCGCGCAACTTTTGAGGTTTCCACACGGACTCAAGCTGATGTTCAAGATCAAGCCTCGAGCTCAGAAGCTTGAGGTCTCAGTCAACGAGAAGGTCTTGGTTTCCAAGCACCTCTCTAAGCTTTTGGAAGAGGACATCACCGGGCTGTGGCCAACAGACAAGGCAAAGATCAAGGCCGAGATCCGTGGATGGCTGGAAGACTCTCCGAAAGAGCTGCTTCAAAAAGCAACTCTGCGGGACCCCAGCGTGAGGGAGAAGACAGGGAGCAGCTGGTTTGAAATCATAGGCTCCATCACGGTCATCCTGTCAATTGGTGTGGCCATATACACCTTAACTTACTTCCTTGCCATGGGTCTGAAATCTGGACCAAGTGGTGAGACCGGGCCGCTCGTGGACAACTACGAGCTCTAGGCCTGGACAAGAAGGAATTCGTTCCATTCGCGCTACAGGGCCGGCCAGAAAAAGATGCTTTTTGTGCTTGAAGTTGTCAATCCATTGCTGTGCCAACGATGGAAGGGCAATCCATCTGGCAGGATGAACCCCGTCAGGGCGACATACAGCTCATCGATCCGAAGCCGGATTCTTGAAGCACAGCTTTTCCTGGGCATTTTGCCTGATGAACAGAATCCATTCTGGCTGACCTGTGCACCAAGGCCACTATTTCGTCGCATTCCCTGATTGCCACCGCACAGAGCTGGCGGGTCGTAGCGCGAAATAGATTGTCGAAGTGTACCCTACGACCGTAGCAGATTGTACCTAGCTTCGTGCAATATGATCTGAATTCATGCGTACAACTACACTGTCCATCTAAACACAAAAAGCCTACGTAATGTTCACCAGGTTGTCCTTTTTTGGGTGTAGGGTACACGCTGCATCAGTAGCGCAAGCAATTTTATGCTACAAGCCGCTTAGATACCACTTGAATGTGCTGACAAAACGTCGCATGGGCAGCGGTTGGCCAGTCAAGGAGCCGTTGCCCCCTTGGAGTTGCGTGAATGGGACTTGTTTGTCATACTCGCGCTTGTTTGCAGCAGCCTTTGTGCTCGAGCAACTACCAGAACAGTATAGGCAGGCCAAACATGCAGTTGTAAAGCGTTGCCAGATGTTGCCAGCACGGCTGAGATTTCAGTCCTTGGTCCAGCCACGCATGTGGGACTTGTGATTCCCGACGTAACATCAAGGTTCAAGATGCAACAGGATGGCAGGGTATGCGATGGAAAGGCGCGGTTGCGTTTCGTCACAACCAACCGTGGCAAGCTGGACTTCTTGCGAATCGTGCTGGAGCCTGTCGTGGCCGAAGGTATCGTGGAGTCTCTTGCAGCTTGTTGGCAGTTGGCTCTGACATGTGGCCTCCAACACAAGTGAGCCAAGCGTCCAAAATCCTGGCTCTATCACGCCCTCACCTGAACATCCTGCTGGCCAAAGTGTGCTAGTAAGCGGTGCTGGGCAAGCCCAGTGGGCCCAGATGGCCCAGCGAGTTCTTGAACAGCTGACATGTTGGTGGCTTACGCACAGTCAGTGAGAGGGCTGCAGAATTGCGTAACGCGAAAAGCAGCAAGCAGCGAACAGTACAGCCGTAGTGCTGCTGAGCCTGTAAACTGCTGATGCATTGTACAAAATGGCAGGTCATATGTACGCCCTTAGGCCTTAGGTGGCAGTTTTCCGGTTCGTTCAGTCCATGTGCCGCACCAGCTGCATTAAGAGCACGTGAACGCATGAAGGGGCACGCTTCCATCCAAGGAAATGTGTGAGATGGAGTTGCTTGAGGTGCAAGCAGACTCGATCGGCAAGATATGTGCTGCGAAGGCTCAGGCGGCTTACGCAGCTCTTGGCGGGAACGTCGTTGTGCAGGACTGCGCTCTGGAAGCTGGCAGTGGCAGTGGCCATGAGAGAGGTGGCTGTTCATGCAGGACAGTGGGTTCGTGATTGAAGCTTTGAATGGCTTTCCTGGGCCATACACAAAGTATGTGCTGGCAACCATTGGTGTGGATGGGCTCCTGAAGCTAATGGAAGGCCAGCCGAACCGCAGGTGTGGCTTTGCCGCATGTGTCGGTTTTGCAGACCTGGATGGCAAGATCCACGTTTTCGAAGAGCCGCGACAGTACTTTGGCAAGCTGCGGGAGTCCAGAGCTTCGACGCATGAGGGCTCTGCGGTCGGCAAAGCGTGGGGACATGCTCCTTGGTAGTGAGCTGGTCAAAGTGAGTTCCTTTTCGACCCTGCTCGCAAGTACAGCATTCCAAGTGCAGTAAGCTTTCCCATGGATCATGGATCACGACAGGAGTCTGGCCAGCTGTTCGAAGTTTTCATTCCGGATGATTCCGAAGCTGCTGGCTTGACACTGGCGCAAATGTCCGAGGAGCAGCTGACGAGATATCGCCAACGACGCCATTCAGCCTTCAAGGTGATCCAGCTTAAATTTGTCTAGGCTCAAGAGATGTATCCGTAATGTATGCGATTTGCACTCCAAACATGCGGTGATGGAGGACACCTTGCGCCACGTAGGATCGCCATATGTTGTACTTGTAATTCCTAAGGGATACGCTATATAAGGTGGTGCAAGATTCCTCCATCAACAGTAGGGTATGGTTATGGCTCTGGCATAGTCCCATGGTGCAGCATGGAAACGCAGTTGCAACTCCAGCATTCCCTGTCTTCTCGGCGGCGCTTTGAGGTGTTTGCAAACTGGCTGCTCGTAGCAAAGGGGAGGACAACCTTGACGGCGCCAGGATGAGGTCATCTTCCAAGGCCCTGGTTTATAGGAGCCTGCCTTCGACTAGCTGACTAGCATGAGCTGTGAGCTTGGGAGCCGAATCAACGCTTGGCCTCTCTTGCTGCGAAAAGTGTTGCAACATGCGTGTGCAGTCCCCTCTTCCCGGTTGTCTGCTACTTGGCTTGTTCAACCTTATGTTGCGTGCTGACAAAGAAGTCGTTGCAGCATTGTTACTTCTGCCTCAGCTTCAAGGGATTCAACGACAATTGCCATGGCTTCCAGACTTCCAGATGTCTCCTCGTCACTGGTATGTTGCAGCAATAGCCGCGAAGCCTTTATTGCAAAACGCCTGCAGGGGTGAGAACATCAATTTTGACGTACCCTGCAACGCATCTCGTGGAATGCAGAAGCCATCTGCATCCGATGGTGCTGCCTCGCCAACACAGGTTCAGTCCCGCCTGCTGAAAGGTCCATCCTTCGCAGACGTCGTGATTCAGGACATCGTGTGTTCCTGCAGTGTAAGAGGTCAGCAAGCCATGCTTACATGTGAAGGAAGTCGCGCGGCTAGCACGAGAAGTGCAAGCCATTCAGCGCGACCGGGATGTACCTTGAATTTGAGCATTTGAAGACTGATATTTCTGGCTTGGGGTTTACCTTGTGCAAGATAGCATCTGTGGCCGCATTCTAGTGTAAACCATCTAAGTTTCCTGAGAGCTGCTGATGATCCGCAATGGTGCTTCTAGCCAAGACATCGCCCAAGCCAAGCCAAGCCAAGCCAAGCCAGAAGCCATCATCAGTTCGAGCCTCGTGCACGTGTTGTGCTCCCCTCTTCAGTGGATCAGTTGGCCTGCGTAGAGGGCAGCCAACTCTTCAACAGACAAACACATGCATTCCACCTAATATGGCGGGGCATAAGCAAGAATGTACATGTGGTTGTCAGTGCACAGTGTTGGAGCACAGTCTTCGAAGAGGGGACGAGAATTGAAAGGCCAAAATCTTACAGCTCCGCAGACAAGAAAAATCAGGTTTTCGAGGACTGCACGTCGCCTTTGATGGGGCAAAAGCATTGACAGAAGTGACTGGCATGATGCAGTCATGATTGCGAATTCTGGTGCTAGTGCCTCGCCGGTTCAGCCATGAGCAATGCGTGCAGCGCCTGGTCGAAGCATCCTCAGCTTGGGGCGGAGAAAGGTGGAAGAGGGGTGGAAGAGGGGTGGTACTGTGGGGATAGGAACGAAGCTACCACGATGGAAAACGCACAACAGGGGTGCAAGTAGTGGCGGCAAAGGTGGTGTAGAAATTCTGCCGGACGGAAGGTGAAGCATGTCAAAACGTTTCGGAGGAACCCAGCACCCTGCCAATAGTTCTGGTTCAAGCCCTTGAGGCTATAAAGCCGAGCCGTTATTCCCAAGCGGCAGAGGAAGGAGGGTAGAGGTGGAAGAGCGGAGGAGTAGTGGGGAAGTGAAGGGCTGTGAAGAGAGACTTGAGAGACTTGAAAGGGTAGAGAGGTGAGGTGGAGACGTGGACAGGTGAAGACGTGGAGTTCCAAGACATACTCTGGAGCTGATACAGCACTGTTGATGGAGGAAATCTTGCATCACTTAACCTAAACCATTGTAACTTGGGACTCCACGTGGTGCAAGGTTTCCGCCATCAAAAGTACCAGTGAGGTTCCCATGCAAGTTTCTACTGCACACTCTCGTGTGAACCTGCATCCATGGCAAGGCCGGCTGAAAGTCAGCTGGCCGCCTTGGACTTGGAAACTTCTCCACGCATCAGGATGTTGAACAATCCAGCAATGAAACAGTGAATTCCAGAGGCCGCTAGTCTGGCGTCGGTCTTTCCTAATACGGGTTTTCGTGGACATGCGTTAGAGGGAATTACCTTTGGAGTTCAATTGTTCAGGCAGCTTCAGCCCCTGAGGATTAACGCTGGAGTCATTTCCTCCTGCTGAGGTTCCGGGCATCCTCTGCTGGCAACCATGGAAGCATGACATCCAGAGTTGATTCTGGTCGTATCCTCTAGGCCCTAGGCTTCGGACTAGAGAAACCTGCTGAGGAGGGATTGAATGCAGAGTTAATTCTCGTTGTGGCAAGACCAGTCCCATGGAAGCACCAATCCAATGAAAACAGGATCGGCTTCAAATTAATGCAACACTAGCCTGTAAACCAGACCAGAGGAATTCACTTCGCTTTGGACCCACATAGCAAGCTGGCACTTGTTTTGTTTGCAGGCTTGTTCTAGATCATTCCACGTGGAAGTATATCAGTCTTAATGGAGAGGATGCTAACATCTCACGAATTCTGGTTTTCATCGACCATCACGAGAATAGCAATCCAGGAGACATCGCCATCCCTAATTCACACGGGTCCGGCACACAACCGGGCGCAGCTCATGATACCACAGGAGCTTCAAACCAGAAGATTTCACACGTGCCAGGACACTGATCAGGCCACTGGCCGGGCACGAACAGCAACAACCGGGACACGAACCACCCCGACTGTTTCACGATTCTCCAGGAGCTCGCCAACATTCAGCGGGACAGCAACCGGGACACCAAAAGCCAGCACCTACTTAAGTAAATCATGGTCACAAACTTGGCGGCTGTTGGGACACAATCTGAGATCAGGAAAGATTACCAAAACTACGGCGGCGGCAGCCGAGCCCAGGCCATCCCCCGAATACATTGACCTTTTCAGAAAGCTTTCAGCCCTCGAGCCTTGGATTTTAGCATCTTAACTGAAGTGTGCCGTTTTCATTGGCACTCCTGACGGAGTAAGTAATAGGCTGCCGTAAAATGATTCAAATGTATGACGCCAAGACAGTGGCCGGGCACCAAAACCACTGACCGTGACACCGAGCAGGACCAGGACGCCAACCAGCACCAACCGGAATTGGTACACCATCGCTGACTAGGACTACGATTGAAAGGGGTTCGATGTTGTTATGGTGACTCATACGCCATTAACAGTATAAGTCATAGATGCCCCTCAAGTACAGACCACTTGTCTTCGAGTTCTGTTAGAGTTACTGAAATTTAAATCCATTCAATCTCGCTGCAAGATGCACTCAATCTTTTGGGGGAGTCATTGGAGTACAAACTCCCCAATTGAACTCCTGATCATTTTTGGCGCAAGGCCCGCCAAAACTTGGGACAACTGGCCCGCAGAATTCAGCACCCGGCTCAAAATTGAGGATGATTGGCCGGCAAGAGTCCGGGACAGCTGCCTGGCCAGATTCACAAGCGGCCGGTCAGATTAGAAGGTTTTGAGAAAACTGCCGAAAAATCTCGGACAGTTCGCCAGGCAGATTTACAGGCTTCCCTGCAAAAACCAGCGGATGTCCGGCAGCATCTCTCAGACCATATCACTTGTACTGATACTTATGACTCACAACTATGGCTATGACTTTACGACTCTGACTTGTAACTTGCAACTCGACCCATGTTAGGCATGCGTTTGGGCGTGGTTCGGCAGCACAGAATTTCCACGATGCACTCGCCCGGCGTGCACCGTCTGTGCTTTTTGGGGGTACATTTTGAGTGGTCCAGGCAGAGAGCATTACATACCAGAATGCCCTGGTGACCAGGGCACTGAAGTGACACCGACCGCCCCAGAGCTACTGCCCCAGAGCCGACTGCCCCCAACCACCCCACACAATTGCAGAGGTTTCCGACGATGTCCGCAAGCACGAATGTGGATCGTATAAGAAGTAGTCTCCGAAATGGTGGTTATTGGGGAAAAATAGCGCTAGGCAGCCAAGCCTAGGCCAGGTCCGTCAAATGCCCTAAAGTTCGGAGCTACAGCATCTTTTGGCATGTCCATATCACAGAGATCTTGCCGAGTAGCGGCGGGGTCCATTTTCGAATACATTGCCTTAAGCTGCTTTTTTAGTTCCAGCAGAGGCCTCCAGTCCCGGTGTTAGGAGTATACGGGGAAAAGGGGTTTTCTGAGCTTTCTTGTCGCTTAGCTGGACGAGTTAAATTAGATTTGTGAGACTGGGTTGAGCTTTGGAATGGTGCAACATTAGGTGCCAAAAACACCCCGCCGCACCCTGTCCCACAATGCCCTGCCCCACCATGCTCTGCCCCACCATGCCCTGCCCGACCCCGCCCCACCCCGCCCTGCCCCACCCTGCCCAAAGGCCGACGCACCAGGAGGAAAGTAGACTGGGACACCGACCGCCCCACACAGTCGCACATTTGCTGAAAATGGACGAAAGCACGAACGTGGGCCGTGTAAGAAGTAGACCCCAAGCGTGGTGGCTATTGGGGAATTACGTCCAAAGTTCGTTGTTTTTGTAGCATTCCCAGTCCTTCGAAGCCAAACCAAAGAGTACTGAATCCCAACCAGTCCTGTCAAAGAAGACCAAAAAGAAGTAGATCCAGAGTTATTTCTTTTCATAGTACTACCAGTCGTGTATACCCTTGGCTGTCGTTGCATTGTAAAGCTGAGCCACCATATTGCAGAGCGCACGGCGCAGTGAAGCCCAACTTGGGGGGAGCGCAGACGATGTGTGGTGCTTGTTGAGGATTTGGGGTTGTTATGTTCATCCCTATTGGCATCATGCACCCAGGGGATTAGCTCTCGCACGCTGTCTGGCAGTTGTTGTTACTGAAGCAAATTAAATCCACAGTTATTTCATTTTGTGGCGAGACCTGCCCCGTGGGTGCACAAATCCAATGGAAACTGGCTTTTGCTTAGAATCGGTTTGAAAGGTCTCGAAAGTTAAACTGGAAAGAATTCAATTAGAGATAAGTCTTTCGTGAACCTGCAGTTTTCGCGGGCGGTGCGCAGAGGAAAGAACTCCAGAGTTAATACAAAACCAAGCCATGGGCTTCGAAGCTTACCACCCAAGATTCGAAATTGAGCGAATATGTTTTAGCTGTCCAGCAGTCCGGACGTAGCAACCTGAAGGGTACTCAGCTTCCTGCATGGAGTATGGGCTTTGAGCACTTGGGGGGTTGATCAAAACTCTTGAACTCCCTACACCATAAACTCAGATTGAAGACCCTTGGCCCA